GCGTGCGCGCGTCTGAGAGTAGGAGGTCCGGCAGGAGTCAGACAGATCTATGATCGCTGGTGCCTGGTGCTGCCACCTCTCGGATCAAGCTGTCCCAGTCTTCCTGCCAGACACCTGCAATGTGTACCCCAAATCCATTCTGCTCACGCTTGGAAACAATCGTGTCAATTTGTCCTGTCCGGCCAGCTGTGCCACCCCCTGGTGGGGGCAGAGTTTCTGGCTGGGTTCTCTCCAACCAGCTACAGACATGAGGAGCGCTTTAGGTGGGATCCGGCACCCAAGGCAGTCCAACCGTCCATCGGCAGAGGGGGCCTGGGCCTGGGACAGCCAGAAACTCCAGCCCAGGTGAGTCCCGGCTACAGATTGGGTTAACACCCCAGCCCCTGGAGAGGTGGTGTGGGGTCCTTAGGGCTCCGGGAAGCCTCATGTTCATGTCTGTACCCCAGGAGGCCTGGTCACCAAGGCGCGGTGCTTCAGTGCCATCCTCAGCGCCTGCAGGATGGCAGCCTGGCTGTTCTGCACATTGTAGTTACAGAGGCCCAGCAGGCGGTCAAAGTCGTCCTCCTGGTACGTCATGTTGAGCAGGGAATAGGGTGAGGTGGCCCCGGTGAGGTCCACTTGGCCAGCCTGGAGCTCTGCCGGGCTGCGTGGGATGCCTGCAGGGGGTGGGAGGGTGGCTGGGATTGGGACTTAAAAGACATTAGCTGGGCAGGGCTAAGCTTAGAGGCTGCCCACTTAAAGGGGATTCTTGGCTTCCTCTCGGCTCCCTGTGTCCTTCCCCAGAAGCAGAAATGTGTGTTGTTGTTGTGTGTATGCTAAGGGGCCCACCTTGACCCATTGTGACCGCATGGGACAGAGCAGGACCATCCCATAAGGCTTCCTGGGCTGTGTCCTCCGTAAGGGAACAGGTGGTCAGGGCGCTGCCCCCATCACAGAGCGGCCAGCGAGGTCAGACTGCCAGCTGGTTGGTTAGCAGTCGAGGCTGAACTTTGCTGCCTGTTGAGCATGAATGACATCATGGATGACCCTGATGACATCAGCCTCCAACGGCTTCCTCCACAGAGCAGAGGCGTTCAGGTGTCGCTCCAGCGAGCTTGGCGGGAAGGGAGTCCCCCAAAGGAGGACACAAGCATGGAGACCTTAGCACCCAGGCCAGGCCATCATGTCTGGGACGGGGAGACTGACTCCATAGCTGCCCTGCTCAGGCGCTTCACCCTCTGCTAGCGGGGGCTGCTGGGAAGAGCCCCGAATGGGGCAACCTAGCGAAGAGGGAGTTGAGGGGCTGCCTCACCGGGGGCCACGTAGTCCTTGAAGGAGGCGTTGACTAGTGGGAAGTGCAGCAGGGCAGGGGCCTCAGGGCGTTCAGGGTCCGAGAAGAGGTGACACTCCTTGGGCTGGTGGAGGTCCTGAGGGCTCAGCCCCACTCGGGGGAAGGGCAGCCCCTGGGCCCGGCAGTACAGCTCAGTCTGCTTCAGCACCTACGAGGAGAGGGGCACGCAGAGAACCCAACTAGCCCCCCAACATCCTAACCAGGGCGCTAGAGCACCAGGCCACACCGGCTCCCTCGGGAGCAAGCCCACAGCCCAGTTTGGGTCTGCTTGTGCCCCAGTTATGCTACTCAGTGCCTTGAAGGGAGTCTATGGATCCCAGAGGCTTTTGACATTTTCTCATTAAAATCTTCACGTGGAGTATAGACCCAGAACCCACCTGCTCCCCCATTAGCATTCTGATGCCGGATTATTCAAGCTTTCAGAACCAGAGAAACTCCTTAGGAGATCTACTGCTTTATCTCAGCCCTCCTCAACCACCCTCCCCCAAAAAGCCCCAGGGTTGGTGCGGAAACCACCAGACCCTCTACTAGCCCTGTCTAGGCTGCTCTTCTTGGGGGAGGGGGGAGGTTCTCCCTGTTCCCCTCTCCTGGGAGCCCTCGGCCCCAGGCCCATACTCCTTCCCAACCAAGGCCCCTGGCAGGTGTCTGTTCCCCCTCCATCTGAACAGGAAATGCAGAGACTCTGCCACTGGCCACTAGAGTTTGGCCTGGCTGGGCAGAGAGCCTGGGGTCCCCACGGCAGCTTTGGGTGAAGCCAGAGGCACCTCGAAGGGTGAGGACAAGGAGTAGTCAAAAGAGAGGATGAGGTCCAGCTTGCGGCCCGGGTGGAGCAAGGCGGGGCAGCTCGTGTTGATGAAGTAGCCGGTGTCCACTAGGCAGAGCTGGGGCTGCTGGGGGGTCAGCTGACTGGGGGTGCAGTCCACTTGGCTGTCTGGTAAGGGAGGCGACTCCAGTCAGAGAGACAGCCACCCTGCCACCTTCTTACCACCAGGAACCCTGGTAGTGTCGTGTTGTGTAGTTACCTACGGGACTGCTAACTGCAAGGTCAGTAGTTCAAACTGACCAGACCTTCGCGTATTTACCGCCTCTGAGACCCGCCCAGCAGTTGTGCTCTGTGAGTCAGGATTGGTACTAGGTGGCCGTAACTTTGGATTTGGGGTTAGCGGCACATCACAGCAGGGGCCCCGGTGGTCTCCTGGTTACGGATTGGTCTGCGAACGGTCTGGAAACCACTGGCCACTCCACGGGGAGGGCTTTCTACTCCCACAAAGAGTCAGTCTCAGAAACCCACAGGGCCGGTTCTACCCTCCTAGAGGGCCGAGATGAGCGGCAGCAACTCTTCAAGGGCAGTGAGTTTGATTTGGGATTGGACACATCACAACTGACTGCACGCCCCTTCTTTCCTCAGGTAACCCTCCTAAGACAGCTGTTAGCCAGCCTCTCTCCGAGACTGGCCAATGGCCTCTCTTCTAGGCCAGCCAAGAAGTTGACCCTGTGACCACCCCCGCCCCCCATACACACACCAAGGCCTCTGGAAGCCCCTAGCCTGGGACACTTTCTACTCAGGAGCCCAGCCTTCTGAGTTGAGCATGGCCATGGTCCTACCTGCCCAGGTAGAGAAGTCTTTCTGGCTTCTGTACTCCTGGTGCAGCTGAAGGCCACGGAGGAAGTTGGGGCTGTGCTGGTGGAGGGGCCTGTCTGTCAGGAAGCCCTTGAAGGCCTGAGCCAGTGCCGTCCCAGGCTGCAGCCACAAGGCCTCAAGGTACGAGGGTGTCTCTGAGGAAGCAGGGGGCTCCTCTGGGACCAGAGAAAGAGACTGTGGTCCATTAGAGGCCCAAGGATGGCTGGCTCATAGCCAGTGAGTGTCGGATAGGGGGCAGGCCTCATTTCAGCACCCCTCGGCACCCCCTTCCCTACCTGCGCTCCTCATCTTATCCTTGATGTGTTGTGTCCAGGTTGTCCCGGAGCTGGTGAGGCCGTACCAGGCATCCAGCAAGTTCAGGGAGAAGATGTTGCTCCAGACTCCTGCAGGGCCAAACCCTCAGAGATGGCAGGTGTCCGGCTCCCACCCAGAGGCCAGTGGTCCCACCCTTGGGGGTTGGTGGATCATGGGGGTGAAGGGGAGCTGTCCCTGCCATGACTTTTCCTCACAGCCCTCCGCCCTGCACTCACCCCACCTTAGGTCCCTGCCCAGACCTGAGCCACCACAGGAGTCCTATCTAGGCAGAGAGGCCTGCCCTGAAAAGTGCCCCCCAGTACCCTCACCTTCCAGAAAGCAGATCCGGGACTCAGGGAGCTTCCTCATCAGCCGTCCCATGAAGAAGTCAGAGCCCAGAAGCTCAGAGGGGATGAAGGCTCCGTACTTCAGAAACCCAGTCTCATAGGGAGAGAACTCCACCCATTCTAACGGGGTACAAGGGACCGGCAGGCATGTGAGGGGAGTCAGCTGGCCTCAGCCTTCCTCCTGCCTGGCAGGGTGGGCACCAGTGCAGACAGATGAGACAAACGTAGACTCCTGCACTGGCCACTCCCCGACCCAGCCCCTTGCCCAGGTCCTCACCCTCAGCCCAGTGCAGACAGGGCCCCATCCCACCCCCTGGCTCACTCATGAGCCCTGTGGGACAACCATTCTTCCCCGAGGTTGGAAAGGAGGTTCGTGTCTGAAGTCTCTGGGGACCCTCCATGTCTAGAGGATTTTGGAGAGGGGAGGGGGCTTGGGAGGGAATAGCCAGGGCTGTACCCTTGAAGTCGAGGGTCTCTAGACGGTTCTCTTTGACATTAAGGCTCAAGTAGAGCGGCAGAGGGTTCTGTCCCCGCTCCAGCGCAGCTCTCTGTCCTGACAGCGTGTGGTGCATCTCCTGGGGAGAGGGCAGGGGGGCTGAGGGAGGCCAGGAGGAGCCCCCTTGAGGTGGCAGCTCCACCAGACAGAGCCCAGCTCGGGGCCCAGACTGGAGGTGGGAAGGCAGCCTTTCTTTTTTTTTTTTTTAATCGTTTTATTAGGGGCTCATACAACTCTTATCACAATCCATACATACATCAATTGTGTAAAGCGCATTTATACATTCATTGCCCTCATCATTCTCAAAACATCCGCTCTCCACCCAAGCCCCTGGCATCAGCTCCTCATTTTCCCTCTCCCTCCCTGCTCCTCCCTCCCTCATGAACCCTTGATAATTTACAAATTATTATTTTGTCCTATCTTGCACTGTCCGACGTCTCCCTTCACCCACTTTTCTGTTGTCTGTCCCCCAGGGAGGAGGTCACATGTAGATCCTTATAATCGGTTCCCCCTTCGCACCTCCTCTCCCTATCGTGGGACTTAGAGTTCCCCCTCCCACACCCACATTGGGACCAGCGTCTACACTGGCTCTACACTGGCTGAGCGCTGCTTGTCTCCAGGGGGCCCCATTCACAAGGACAGCAGGGCCCGTGATGCCTCTGCCCCTCCCCTGCCCCATATCCTGGCTCCCAGCGGCCCCACCTTTGTGAGCCAAGCCGTGGAAGGGAGGTGGACAGTGATGCCAGATGAGACCTTCAGTCCCAGGCACTAGGTTTGCGAAAGGTTCTGGGAACCGTACAAGCAATAGCTTTCGGGTGCACACCCACCTCATGTTGAGTCTGCCCGTGAGTTCAGCCTACACTGAGTTTTCTCTCCAACCGTTGGCCAGCAAGGAGAAAAGCATTGCCCTCAGGTGGGAGTGTGTCTGCTTGGGATCCAGGGAGGAGCCAGCTCACCCTCAGGCACTTGCCCTCGGTGGAAATTGGGGGCTCAGGAGCTTATGGTTATGAGTCTCCCACGCTAACAGAAACTTATTGCTGCACTTGACAGAAAGCCGGCTGTTCAAACACGCCTCCTTCAAACCTGAACATGAACTTAAACTGCATGCCCCAAGCACACGGAGGGCATATCAACAAACAAACAAAACATGTCAAGCAATTAAGTCATTTTAGTTCAGATGTCCAGTTTTTTAGAAAAGATATGTAGGCTTCATTTCTGGTCACGACGGGGGAGGTTATTTAGACTCCCCGTTGCACTCCAAAGGAGCCCTGCTGGTGGTGTGGGCCAGCCGTCGGGCTGCCAACCGAAAGATGACTGGTTCAACCCCCCAGCTGCTCCAGGCGAGAAAGCTGAACTATCATCTCTCCCCACACAGATCCACAATCTTGGAAAGCCTGCCTACGGCTGCTGTGAGTTGGAATTAGTGGCAGTGGGTTTGGTGGCTGCCCTGAAAATACTAACAGTGTTTGAGGTTTTTAAAACATTTAAAAAAAAAATTTTTAAGCACTTAAGAGCTGCCAAGAGAGTAAGGAACTGCAAGCCAAAATCTAAAGGCAAACAGGAAGGAGCCCAGAGATATAAATGAGGTCTGAGCACCAAAGCCACTTTGCCCTGGTGGCGTCTGTCAAGTTGGGCAAACTTGGGCCTCAAGTTTTACATGATGCGTTGGTTGATTTTATGTGTCAGCTTGGTTAGGTTGTGGTTCCCAGTGGGGTGGCCAAACTCCAGTTTAGTGGCTGTTCCACAAGACCACTTAAGGAAATATCACTTTCCATAATGTATTATAATGTAATGTAATGCGATGTGATGTAATCAACCCATCGGTCGAAAAGCAAAACTTCTGTGACCTGTCTCCTGAGGGCGTTCTCTGCTGTGAGAATCTGAATAGATATCTTGGCATAACTCTCTCAATCTTCACTGTGCATTCTTCCCACCACCTGACCTATGGATCTTGAGACAGAACCATCAGAAGCCTCCAGTGTTGCCACCTGACCTATGGAGTTTAGACTAACAGCTTTCATAACCATGTGAGCCAGTTCCTTGGAAAAAAATCAAACAACCTCGCTCTCTTTTCTTTCTTCCTCCCCCTGCCTCTCCACTCACTCACACACACACACACACACAGAGATAAAGGGGCTTCAAAAAGCTTATTGAAAATGGAATTAAAATATAATAGAATTTCTCTATGAAAATTTTGAAGCTTCTGCATATATAGGTATCTCACCACCTCTGTGTCTCCCGAGAACCCCAAGCCATGACAACAGCACAAAAGGGATGGAAGTCAGGGTGCAGCCCTGACTACACATTAAGTTAGGAGCCCAAATTCACCCACCACGACCCAATCCATGATAGCTGTGTACTGCCATATAAGTGAAACAAAAGTGCTTCTAGCCACCTCACTGACTCTCCAACAACATTCAAAAGCTGTGTTTGCATAACTGACTTTGACCCTGCCTGGTTCCTGGCTCTTGGGGAAAACCCAGACATTTCTGTTTCGGGCCAGTTTGTTGAGACTAGCCTGGGAAGAGGCCAGGACACGGTGGTACCCCTATCCTATAACCACCAGCCCTGGCTCTCTGTATGCCCTGCCAGTGGGGTGAGTGCCCCCGCCTCCTCCCATGCTCCATCCAGGTTTAGAGCTGCCTACCTGCCCGTGCAGCATGTTCTCCAGCACCAGAGCCCAGAGGTCAGCAAAAGTGGTGAGGTAGCCCTGCTCGGTCCGAAGCTGCAGCTCCTGGTGGTAGCGCCTCAGGCGCTCTGGAGAGAACGTATCCATCTTGTTCTTGGCCATGTGCTCCCGGGCGTGTTGGATAGGTCCCTCGAGGTCCTGCTGGGACCACTCGGGGTTCCCATACAGGTGGGCCATTGCCCTGGGAGAGCAGAGGGACTCGGTCAGTAGGGACAGAGCACAAGTCGCTCTCACCCTTCCTTCCCACCCGGGCACCTCCTGGCATCAAGGTCCCCTCATCTTGAAAAGTCTCTTAGTGCATAGGTTCCCAAATTTCTTTGGCCTACCGCCTTCTTTTCAGAAAAGAAATGACTCCAGAACTCCTGGCAATGAAGTATGTTTGTACTTTATCTCATAACCCAAGACAAAGTATCTGTTTCTGCAGCCCGTCTGGATCATTCCAAGCCCCCCAACCCCTCAGGGAGTGGAACTGCCCATGTTGGGAAACATTGTCTTAACGTGTTCTTCTTGGCCAGCACTGTCCAATGAACACATGATGCAAGCCATATAGGTCATATGAAAGTTTCCAGTAGCTCCATGTGGCAGGGAGGTGGGGCTTTCTACCCCCGTAGAGTTTGTCTTGGAAACTCACAGGGGCAGTTCTAGCCTGTCCTATAGGGTCGCTATGAGTCAGCATCGACTCCATGGCACTGAGTTTTGGATAACTCTATTAAAAAGTTTTGTTGTTGTTTTTTTAAGGTGAAATTAATTCTCATATATATTTTACTTTATTCAGTATAGCCATATGTTATTGTCACATCAAGATATTGAAGAGAAAAAAAAAAGATTGGCAGAGTTTATATTCCTTTTTCTTTTCCAAACCGATTCTTCAAACTTGCCATACAGTTTATATTGACAGCGCATCTCAATTTGGACTTGGCCACATTACAAGTGCTCAGAGGCCGTGGGTAGCCAGGGTTGTCATGGCGACAACACAGCCCTACGCCCTCCTCCTGCCTTCACGGATGCTCCTGTCACCTGAACCCTTCGGGTTTCGCTGACAGCTGCTTTTCTTCTTATTCCTGAAAATCACACCTCGGTAAGCATCCAAGGAATGGGCCGTGGAGGGGGTGAAGGGAGCCAATGTTGTCCTTAGGTTGAATAAGGACTTATTGCGGTCATCTCTACTGTCTGGCAATATAAGAACCCATCCCAGAGAGTATTCAGGGAAGAATAAAGGGGAAATGACGACCCCAAAATGCTCCTCTTATGGGCCAGACAGTATGTAAAGTGTTTTACTTAACTGACCTCACTGGGATTCTCTGGAGTCCGCCATACTACCCTCTCCAGCTTGGTGATGAGTCAAGTGTGTAATCAAAGGAGATGTGGAACTCAAGGTCACCCCAGCCAGTCAGTAGGGGGGGAGGGTTGTGGGGGGCGGTGTGACTATGACTCACACCCAGCTCACACCCAGCTCGCTCGGGATCAGCTAAGAACGTACCTCGTGCACCAACGCTGCCATATGAATGCTTCCTTCCTTCCGAGAGCAAGTGCCTCACGGACAGCCGCCCAGCCGGCCATGCTGCTCACATCTACTTAACTTTTCCACGTGTTTCCCCAAAGTGAGCAACACCGCTCCCTAAAGAGGCTGGAACAATCCTAACCCAAAACTCCCCACCGTCCAGTCCATGCTGGCTCATGGAGAGCCCCCTACAGGGACAGGGTGGAACTGCGCCTGTGAGTGTCTGAGGCGCTAACTCTTCCAGGGAGTAAAGCCGGTCTTTGTCTTTCTCCTGCGGAGCCTCTGCTGGTTTCAAACGGCTGACCTTGCGCGATTTGCAGACCCGCTCATAACCACGATCCCACCAGGGGTCCTACACTTGATCCTAGATGATGGCCTGAATAAAGTACAAATTTTTTTATTGCCAGAGGGGCGCTGAGTCGTTGATGTTTGGTTTTTTTTCTGAAGAGGGGGCAGTCGGCCAAATAAGTTTGGGCGCCTATGATCTAGAAGGTCCCTCTGGTGTTGGCTCCCCACTCCCCTCTCTGGGCCCCAGTCATCTCTGCTCCGCCCCAGAGTCCTCACCATGTAGAGCCTGAGATGCCACTGAAGTAGGTCACACAGTCCAGGAGGCCCAGTTTCTTCAGGGCCAACAGTTGTCCCAAGAGTGAAGTCATGGCCCGGGCACCCCCTCCAATGGCCATGATGCCCACAATGGGGACCTGGAGTGCACAGCAAAAGACAAGACAGAGCTGCCCACTGCCTTCCCCTGGGACCCCACCTGCTCTCAGCCTCCAGGTTAACAGCGCTTCATTGATTCATTCATGGTCAGGACCTCGGAGTCAGGGTTGGAGCTAGAACTCAGCCCAGACCCAAAATGTAGCCCAAGGGGGACAAGGACCCCCAAACTCCCCACACATGCCCACTGCCTGGTCTGCTGACTGGAGTGTCTGGAAAGCGTATAGGCACCCCCCCTTAGGGCGCCCCCAGACAGACCTCGTCCTCCTGCAGGTCTCCCTCCAGCTGCAGGGCCTGCTGCAGGGCCTTGGCCACCACCTGCTTCCTCCTGCTCAGGAAGGCCTGCTCCTCAGCACACAGCTCGAAGCCCAGGCGCACGGCCAGCTCCTTGGGACTGAGACAGTAATTGACCCCGGGGGTCAGAGGGCACCTGCACAGCTCAGTCATGAGGTAGCCACACCCACAGTGAGCTGCCAGATAACCTCTCTGCTTCCAAGCCAGGCCTGCCCTTTTCAGAGCACGCCTCTTTTGCATGATGCCCTTCAGTACAAACCCCCCTTCCCTCTCTCCCCCACCCCCCACCGATACACAGGTCTCTTACCAGCCTTCTGCCTTGAGCTGCAGGCCCGCTCCTGGGACCTAAAACCAAGGGGGCGAGAGCCTGCCTGTAAAAGAGATCTGGTTGCCTCCTGGAGGTAACAGAGTCCCCCGTCCTCATCTTCCCTGGCACTGCTCATCAACTCCAAGCCACTTACATTTGGGACATCAATGGTCACCTCTTTCCCCATGGGCAAGGGTTTCAAGGGCACAGTGAGGTGCTCAGCTGAGGTGTCCAAGTTCCAGGCACTGCCTGCGGCTCTCTGGAAGAAAACACCCATTCATTCACTCATACTTTCCTTTGGTACCTCCTCACAGAGTAGCTAGACAGGCCCCGTGTTCCATTCAGTCCCAAGCCCACCTGGCGTGCACCAACCATTACAAAGAACAAGCATGCCACTGTGGTAGGTGACACTGGGCTGGGACAACACAACGGAAGGCTGCCTAGCCCCCAGCTGTGCTCCTCTGGTTATGTGTGAACTTACTGCCACAGACCCCGTTCATCCACCTCCTCATGGGGCTTCCTCTTTCTGAACCGAGCCGCCACTTCACCGAGCATCCTGTCCTTTCTCAGGGCCTGACCTTCCCAGATGACCTGTCCAAAGTCTCACCCTCCAGCGAACCTTCTGGCTGTACTTTCTGCAGACAGGACAGATTGGTCCACATGCTGCGCCGGCACCACCGCACTGATTCTACTCTGGTCTCCCTTATTCTGTCCAACTTTCACACTCAGATGAGGACATTAAAAATATCCTGGCTGGCGTTGGGCACACCTGAGCCCTCAAAGTGGCACCCTTGCTCTTCAGTAACTGGAAAGAGGTTTGTACAGCAGAGCTGCCCCAGGCAATCCTTCCTTTGATGTCTTGGTGAGATCCTTGCCCACGCCCGCCCATCCTGTCTCCATTTATCATGAGGTGGGCTGTGCGTGCCCTTGCAAACATGTTTGTTTGCTTTACATGAGTTGCAATATTTGCTTTTCATCAGCAAATGCCTTCGGTGCCCCTCGTTTTCAGGAAACCAGCTTGTGTCTGCAGCATAGTGAAGGTTGACGCTTGAGTCGTGATCGAATAATTGCCAGCATGTCATGCAAAGGCATTGTTCCAGCTACACAGCATGTATTCCATGATACAGAAACAGATCAGCAACCAAGGTACTTCCCGTTTCCTTTGTAAGCATTATGCAGGAACCATGCAATGCAACATGATGGGGCAGACAAACAAAGGTGTGTCTGTTTTAGACGGGGATGAGGAAGACCTCTCTGAAGAGGCACTATCTGAGTTGGAAGAGGGAAGAGGAGGAGGGGGAGGAGGAGGAGGAGGCAGCCATGGAAGAGCCAGAGGAGGGCAGGGACCATACAAGGTGGGTTGGAAGAGCAAGAAAAGGCAGAGACAGCTGGCGTGTTGGGAAGGAGGCAAAATATGAAGCAAAGTGGGGTGGGGGAGAGATGGGCAAAGACCAAGTTGCACAGGGCCTGGTGGGCCACAGACATCAAACGTTATTCTAAGAGCATTGCTAGGGGAATCACTGGGGGGTTTTAAACAAAGACTAGTGTGGCTGTAGGAGCCTACCACCCCCACCCCAGCCTCTGGTAATCCTTGATGTCTATTGCCAAGAGAGTGGACCCTAAATGAGGAGTCCAACAGGAAGACTGCAGGGACTTGGCTATGTATGTATGTTGGGGCGGGGCGGTTCAGGTGGGGGTGGCGGGGAGCCTGGGTCAGTTGGAGTAGCTGGAGCTGATCAAAGGCTGGATGGGTGGGCAAGTTCGAGAACCGAGACTCACCTTCAGGCACCCACTCAGTTCTGTCTCCTGGGCTGCCAGATAGTGGAAGCAAGAGGCAGAGGCTGTGCCCAAAGATAGAGTCTGGGTCTCTTCATACGACCCCTTCAGCTCCAACTCCAGCTCCAGTTTATCCTGATCTGGGGAGGAGGGTGGGTAAGTCAGGCAAGAGGCCTGCAGGACTTGTGGGTGTCAGGCTAAAAAAGAACTCAGTGTCCAGCCCAGACACAGCCTGGTGGACAAGCTTGAGGCTGGATTCTGAAAAGAACCTTCCCAGCCTGCTGGGCTCTACATCCCCGTGGGCTTCCCACTCCTACCTTCATCAACCCCCAGGCAGAACCCAGCTGGTTCCGAGCAGGGCTTACCTGGAGCCTCAGCTGAAACCCCCATGCGATCCAGACACACATGCAGGCATGACAGTTCCCGGGCCTAGAGCAGACCACATCACAGAGGGCTGTGCCCGGCACTCGGAGGGTGCCTCCACCTCAGCCCGCTGAGCCCTGCTGACCCAGACCCACCACACACCGAACAAGGAGTGGCCCCACAGTGGAGATGGAGCAGCCGCCGGCCCACCTCTGAAAGGTGCACCTGGAGGGCTGAGCCGGCCACTGTGGAGCAGGCAGGAGAGCCCTGCTGCCCTGCCTTGCCCCTTGTCCTCTCTGCATTCTCCCAATGTGCTCTAGCAATGGACTCTTGCCACGGGCCCTCTCCTATACCAGGTACTGTCTGAGCAGAACTGTGTAGGACCCACCCAAAGGGTTTTCAATGGCTGATTGTTCAGAAGTAGATCGCCAGGCCTTTCTCCCAAGGCACCTCTGGGTGGACTCCAGATTCCAATGTTCTGGTTCACCGCGCAGCCTATTTATCATTTGCACCACAGGGGCGGAGTAGGGGGTGGGTGCCAATTGCTAAATTTAACAATCCATCCCTCAGGTCTAGTACAAATTTAGTTTTATGTGTATTTGAAAAGAAAAGAAAAGAAAAGAAAGAAAGAACGGTACATCCAACAGACCCTTGCATGACCTTGGGAGTGTCTTCCTAAACGCTGTGCTCTAAGCATTTGACTCTCCTGACCCTGATCCAAGTCCCCACTGCCAGCTCACGCCCAAGCTACCAACGCAGAAAACATTAAGGCGGCACCTGCCACCAAGTGGCCATTCCTGTTCACTGCACCTTCGTGAACGTTTCTGAGCTTGGGTTCTAGGGTGTGTAGACCCGGACTCTCCACTGTCCCCTAGCGAAGTTGATCACCCCCAGACCGGTGTCGTCATTTAGGTGGGAAGAGCGGTAGCAACTGCCTTCCCTGCCACTGTCAGAGGGCGTGACACCTACAGCGGTGGTGGCGCTACCAAGGAGGAGGAGCCCCCAAGGCAGTGGTGTCGCCAGGGTCGGTGGCACCCTTCACCTCCTCCACCGTCGCCCGCCAGTCCTGGGACAAGCAAACTGGCCAGGAGGCCTGCCGCTGGCGGACTAGAGGACTTGGCCAGTGGGAGCGAGAGGTGAGGAGCCGGCGGGGAGCAGTGGGTCTGACCCAGGACTGGGGGATGGGATGCGGAGGGAGGGAGGGAGGGAGGGAGGGAGCGAGGATGCCAGTACAGCGCCCGGCCTGTTGCTCCGCCCACCACGGGGCGGGGATTGGCCTGGCCCCGCCCACGGGGCGTGACACCAAGAATTGAGACACTGGGTGACAGGAAACCCTAGTGGCGCCCCGCCCCTGGCCCTGGCCCCGGTGTCTAAGAACGAGACTTTGGAAGTTCCTTCATCAGCAAGCACAGGCGGCCTGGCTCGCGGACTTCCTCCCTTCTCTTCCAGTGGGAAGAACCGACTGCCCACCCGCGGTTAAGCTCCACGCTGGGGGACATCTCAACGTCCTCCAAGGTCCCTCAGCTAGGCGCCCTGGGCACAGCCTCTGCCTGCCGCCCCACAGCCCCAGCACCAGACGACCATGACCACGTGGAGGTCAC